TGTTATGGTTATATCAGAAAATATTTTATCTTCGTATCTATTGACTTGTATATATAGTAGTAAATGTCAGAAATTGAACAATTAAATCAATTATCAAAAAACACCAGGGCCTATATGTTATCTAACATTTTAAAGTATCATAATTTTAAAATGTGATTTTACATTTTGTTAGATCCGAGAATACTAAGCCAAAAATAACAGATATCAGTAGTAAATCATTGATCAAATTAGATTGCCTTGTACAACACTAAACAGTTCATTTCAAAGTATTTAGCTATATAAGTATGATTTCTTGTTATTTTGAGGGGTTAAAACATATCCATGTTTAAAAGAAATAGTGTTATGGTAATATTTTCATAAATAAATCATTTGCTATATTTTGGAAAGATATTCTTCCTATAAAAGAAAATATAAAGAGAAAAAAATTGTCAAATGAATATCCTGACATATCAAATTTTATCATGTCAATATGAAAAAGAAGTTATATCTTCGCAGGCTTGAATATTAGGTTTACTACCTTTTTTCTAATATTTTTTCTGGCCAATATATTTATTTTGGAACTCTAAATAGAATTATAAACTATACTGTTTTCACCCTTGCCTCATTTTGGCTATACAGATGTTATTTTATATGCTGCATGCTTTGAGTTTTCAGATGCCCTGGAAAATTCAGGCTATACTAAAAAAGCTAAGATTTATCAAAGCATTAGAATGTATGTAACTCTTTATATTTGATATATTGCCTTAGTGTACAGTTATTATTTTTATTGTTCTTGTACAGGGGTTATGATTTTACAAAAAAGGAATTTAGACATGATAGTGTATCGGGTAGGCAAAAAAACTAATTCTTTTAAAAATATTTTATAAAGAATATTTGGGTTAAAACTGTCAGAAGAAAAGTTAATGAGGCAAAAAATAGTTAAACATGAAGCAAAAATGTTAACTTATTTCATAATTTTATTTATTTATTTATTTATTTATTTATTTATTTATTTATTTATTTTTATTTAATTGATGTTTGATTTACCAACATATAGTATGACACCCAGTGCTTATCCAGTCAAGTGCCTTCCTCAGTGCACTGTCACCCAGTCACCCCATCCCCCCCACCTACCCTTCATAATTTTAAAAACATAATTTCTATTTAACCATTTGCATTTTACCATTACAATTTATGTAATAGATAAAATATATTCTTGTACTTCTTTATTTTTAATATAAACAATCACAAATAAAACAAATTATGTATTGCCAATTTCTTATACTCACAAAATAACAAATCAGCGTGATATTAAATTTCACTCACTACATTTTTTTCAGAAGATTTTTATTTATTTACTCATGAGAGACACAGAGAGAGAGAGGGAGAGACACAGGCAGAGGGAGAGGCAGGCTCCATGCAGGGAGCCTGATGTGGGACTCGATCCCGCGTCTCCAGGATCATGCTCTGGGCCGAAGGCAGGCACTAAACCGCCGAGCCACCCAGGGATCCCTCAAATATTTTATAATTAATTTCAAAACTTCATTCTTTGTGGTTGTTTATAGAAAATAATTATATATATATTTTAATTTTTATCATTATTACTTATCTATTAACAAGTAAACATTCAGGTCTTCATCTCTCTGACATCATTTACTCAACAAAGGGCCAAATAATTTAGAAGGATATAATTTTACCTTATATAAACCTTTCAAATGGGAAAAAAATGCCTGTGTTTTTTGAAAAACACAGTTAATTCTGTTACAGGAACTGCCAGAAGTGAGCATAAGCGAGGGGGACATGAACTATACACGTTGCCAATATGTCTTCCCACAGTAGCACTTCTAAAGTTTAACTAGGAAGCAAATTAATAAGAGATTCAGGAAAAGCGGCAGCAGTGTTCATGGGGAGCAGTTGGTCGTTTAAATGTTACTTTAGTCTTTTTCTAGCTTTAATACCTGACCTGTAAAGGCCTCTATCCATCCCTTGTTGTTTTTCATTAAAAAGTGTAGATTTGTCAATAAACGGGAAAAATATTTTTTTGAGTTTTAAAAATAAAAGCTTTTTTTAATTTTAAAATGTTGAACTTAGAAAACTGTGATCTTACCAACTTTTCTACTAGGGTCTTCTAGAATATTAAGGTGGATTTATGAAGAAACTATGAGCTTCACATAATGTATTTTTAAATTTTATTTTATCTTCAAATCCATACTCTCATTCATTTCATGTTATTCATTTATTCTACAATTCTATTTGAGCTACTTCTTCAACATTAAGAAGGTAAAATAGTGAATAAAATATAGTTTCAGCTGGCAAGGATCCAACATTTTATTGAGAAGCTCAATTAAGAGGCAATTCTTTATAGGATATATGGTATAAAATAGCACTCTGTCAACATCCATGGTGTATGAGCTCAGAACAAGATCCAAAACACTGTATTTCATAAGACGGAATAAAAATGTTAAATCTGAGTCTAAGAAAGGTGACAATGTACCCAGCTGGGTGAGGTAATATGGAGGTGACTTTTATCCAGAATCTACTTGCTTTTATTTTTAATTAATTTGTTTTTTTTTTTTTAATTCTGTAAAATGTACCCTCCCCTCCCCTCTTTTATCAACTCCTTTGTGGAGCAAAGAACTCATGTTGCATTAGTGAAAATAATGGGCATAATAAACATCCTTAAAGATCAGAGCAAAAAGAGTATTCCCTATAGTGATGCTCTTTTCAAGAAGCAGCACCCTGTCCATGTAATTAAACTCTTAAAGAATACTCATGTTCTTACCCCTCAGCAAATTACTATTCAGTTTTTAAAAAGTGAAAGTGTTAAATCAGTCCAATTGCTTAAATGGCATTATGTAGTGAAAGCAACTATTGAATGAATACTACTAACTTCATTTAAAATTCTTGGTATCGCTTGCTATGACCAGTTTTAAATATTTTCATATTTCAGAGAAATAAGATATTATGCACTTTGTTCTTTATTTTTTAATTTTAAATGTGTTTAAAGAATATTAAATACATGTATCATGCAGAAGCTTTCCCCTTATCTGTACATTTTAAATTGGAAAGTCTTTCCCCTATTGCAGATATCCAAAAATAGTGGTTTAAAGGACACTTCCAAATTGACAAAAAATAATTTGACAATTAAAATCATAAGGAATATATGATAAAAACTATGGATATGCTCTGCATTTTAAGATAAAACATTTGGTAAAGAAGTGTTGAATTTTAATTTGTGATGTCATTTTGGTTTGCTGAGCTGTCTGGACAGGATGGAGGGATTAGCATTTAAAAGTAGAATTTTTTGAATCAACTGGCCAAGGTTTAAACCTAGACTAAGACATTAACAGTATGACTTTGAAAACATTTTTAACCTCTTCATGCCTTAGTTTCCTCATGTACAGGAAGTATCTAATAATAGTAGCTCCCTTTAGATTTTTATGAAGTTGAAATGTGTAAAGGATATAGAATAGTTCCAGACACATAGTTCCATGTTAAGCATTAGCTATTGTTAAAATTCATGTTAACCACAGGGTTACTGCTTGAGGTAATAATGATGATACAATGGAAGAAAATGAATTTTTTATTATTTTTATTTTCTAATGTATTCACAGATCAGTTTTACATTAACCTGTAATCTGTGTTGTAGATTGTAAAATAATATGCTAGGTAAGCTCAGGTCATGCCACTTCTTTATCTCCACTCCATGTCAAAAAAACACATTTAGGTAACATAAACCTTGACATTTTCAAAAGCCATTTAAAGATAGGAAATAGAGTGTTTCCCATAGACAGTACTTGATTCATTGAAAACTACATCCAAGGGTATTGTTGTTAATTAAACGACTATGGCATAGTCACTGAGAAGTTATTAACTCATATCTAGGCATTATGGATATATTAAAATAATTATGTTTTCCCTAATCTTTATAAAGTATATAGCCTCTTTGGATATGTGACCAAGGAATGTGAAACTACTAATTTATGATATTATAAGAATTTTAAAACTAAATATAAAATTTCTCATGTTATGTAACGTGACATATTAGAATTATCTGGAAAAGTTAGAGATTGTGTTTTGCAAAAAGTGGGACTTGAACTGAATCTTTAAAATTAGAATTTTAATAGCTAAGTAGGAAAAAAAGGAAAACTTAGAGATATGAAGAAAGTACAAATAAGGCAGAGGTGAGCATGGCTGGCTGGTAAAACTACAGAACAATGAAGAACCACTGAGCTTGAGTTATGGACTAGTGGGAAGTACAACTGATATGGTAGAAATCTGGAATCATAGTATATTTTTACATTAATCAAAACTGTGTTTGATAAAATTTAACCTTCCTTTTAGTATTCAAGATGGTTTGGAGATAAATAATAATGGAGTGTATAAAAGCATCAGTGATTACATTGGATCTGAGCATGCACATGAGATAACAGTAGGGATTTCGGTGGGATTATCTAGTAGTAGATCATTGAAGGGGCAGGAATAGAGCTTGGAAAAAAATGATAAAACAGTATATTGGAACTTATTAGCAAAGAGGTAATTTCTTCAAGCCATGAGGGTAATATAAAATCGAGACAACTGTGGGTCACTGCCTTTGAATTTGTCCACTATAAAGTAAGAGAGTAGTCAAAAGCAAAGAGAAGGATACAAAACAAAACAAAACCAACAACCCCAGAAAGTTAAAGAAGAATGAAATAGCAAGTCATCAGCCAAGAGTAAACTATCATATATTTTGCAGGGATTGGTGAATATGTAATAAAGTTGTCAATGAGAATATTGGTTAGGGATATTTAAGAAAGTGATTTTTATAGAATGAAAGGAATAAATATAAAATTTCATATCTGATTGAAAATATGACAATTTTCCAAGAACTGTGACTGTGGGGCATTATCTGATAGTTATCTTGTTATCCAATAAATCAATTTGAACATATTGATCAACCTGAACTAAACAATGCAGAGATCCAGCAGTTCTCAACATTGACTTTATATTAGAATCACCTTAAGAATTCCTGAAAAAAAATGCTTGCTTTGGAGCACATATACTAAAATTGGAATGATACTGAAAAGATTAGCATGGCCCCTGTGCAAGGATGACACGCAAATTCGTGAAGAGTTCCTGAAAAACAAAATAAGCAAAAAACTGATACCCAGGGTCCTGGCCTAGACTAATTGTGTCAGAATATCTAGAGATGGAAATGTATCTTCATTCTTTAATGAAAGTTCCATCAGTGACTCAGATTCACAGTGTAGGCTGAGAAACATTACAAGGTTTAGATTTCTTTTCTCTGTGGAATCTCCACTCAGATACTATTCTTTTCTCAAAAAGCAGATAAGTTGATGAAGCAAAATAGCAATTATTCTTTAGTTCATTAAAAGATTGAATTTATGAAATAATATCACTCACATATCAGAACTATCAGGTTTAAAAAGCTTTCTATTAAGATATCTGTCTTGGGGATTTAGTTACTCACTGTGATCACATTCATTGAAAATATTAATATCTTTCATTAATTGAGTGTTCTGAAGAAACTGCTGAAAATGTGTATAATGGCTAGTAAAACATAATCATGTATATTGCTAGAGGGGAAAGCCATTGCTTTGGTTTTCAGCATTATATCATAATTCAGTGACATGTTTAAAAATTAGAACCATAGTTTTACTTAACATTGGCAGAGCATATACTGCTTTATTGTATGCCAAATAAGAAGTGCTAATAATCTTAAACCTTTCCCATAGGGTCTTATTTTTCTTTGGAACTTTAAAAATAATAGGCACCCAAATGACACTGTCATAGCTGATAGTGACTTCTTTACTGCCAATAATTAATGGAAACTCTGGCACTGATACCCTGGGAATGAATTTCCAGAGATTTCACAATTTGGTAGTAATTAAAATAAAGTGTTAGCTGTTAATTTGTTAATATTCAGAATAGCATCTCATTGAGGATGAACATCAAACTTACAGGTCCACTAATAGAAAAAAGTGCTTTCTCTTTATTACTGGGCTATAAAAATATATTTAATCTTTCTACATCTAAACTATAGTGATTATAAAAAATGAGAATATATTCTATGTAAATTATTCAATTGACATTTTTCTTGATTTTCTAACCATGTTTTGATTCTTTCTTTTTTTTTTCTGTTGTTACAGTAAATGAGGGAGGTATTAAAACAGCTTCCAATTTATGCCCAGATCCAGGAGAACCAGAAAATGGGAAGAGAGTTGGATCAGATTTTAGGTAACATTTTGTATTATTTATCTCATTACTTTGTCAATGTTTACTTTAATTTAAAAATTTAAAAATAACTATTAATATGAAAATAAAGACGAAGTCATTTAAAACAATGGCAGCTAGATTTTATTTATTTGTTACTATTAATATTTCAGTGCTTTGAAGTGTTTAAATAACATATCTACTTTATTACAATACTTTTCTGGAATTTAAACAATTAATTTCTTGTCATATCTTAAGTGAAAAATCATGGTCTTTGGATTTGAAAGACATGACTTAGAATTCAAATTCTGCTTAATAGTTGTCTGATCTTCAATAAGTAACTGAATCCTCTCTGCCTGAGTTTCCTGTTCTGTAATGTAAATCAAATTTAGCACATATAATGGTGAGTTTCAAATGAGGTACTGCCTGTGAAACCTTCCTGCAAATATTCTATAAACATTTTATAAGTATTTTTCAGAAGTACATAACTGAGTATGTTGTATCTTCATCTTAAAATTAGCTTTTATTTTATTAATTCAAAATTAAGTTTACTAACAACCAAGAAATGCACATAGTATATGTGGTAGGCAGTAGTTTGCATAATAATAATATTTAAAGCCTTGAAATTTTAGTAGACTTCTATAGTCTACTAAAATTTTAGTACCATTCTATAAATAAATGATACCAAGACTCTTATAAAATATTAAAGTTTAACATTCAAAACTCCTTGCTTTAAAAAAAAAACTCCTTGCTTTTAGAAAGTGTCCATGATACATAAATGTTTAATAAAATTATTGATAATGATTATACTTACACTTAACACACATTTACTATTTTTACTTCTTTATATAAAATTATTTCTATAAAAGACTAAATATCCCTGTGCATGGGGGAAATAGCTCTTAGAACAGTGACCTATGGATATTTTGTCCCCATGGATCGTTCAAGAGAACTTAAAGTTACACTTTGCTACACAGGGGAGGAAGAAAAAATAGTATAATTTCAACATAAATATAACTGGAATTTTCCACAAAATTACATAACTTTATTTAACCAGCCCCATAATTAATATACATGATAATATTTGAAGAAAAACACTAGAAATTTAAAAGACCAGAGATCTAGTCAAACTCTGATCCTAATTAATTGACTTCATTAAAAATCAACTAAAGCTTTCAGCCTCAATAATTAGAAGTAATATTTTGTAGACTACAAAGTGATAAGCAATTTACCATGTGTTTTTTAAATGTCTTTTTCATTTATTATAAAATCTTACATTTTATAATATTCTTATTCTTTTATCCCCACTTTACAAATGAGAAAAATAAAGCTGTTTTTACCCAGGTAATGATTTGATGGAACTGAAATTTGTATTTATTACTTCCTGATTCCAAAATCTGAACATTTAATCACTATATTACATTATGTTTGATGTCGAGCAAACTTCATTTAAATCCCATTCTTGCCGTAAACTACTTGTCTTCTCCAAGACTTTATTTCCTAAGATCTAAAAATGAGAATAATACTTATTTCATAGGGTTAAGGAAATTACATGAAATGATGTATGCATGTAGTAATTATATAGCTTGAGACAAAAGAAGTATATAGTTGGATTTAGTGCCGTGTGCAACCGGGGTGTGATCCTGGAGACCCGGGATCGAGTCCCACATCGGGCTCCCTGCATGGAGCCTGCTTCTCCCTCTGCCTGTGTCTCTGCCTCTCTTTTGCTCTCTCTGAATAAATAAATAAATCAATCTTTTTTTTTTAAAAAAGAAGTATATAGTAAATGCTAGTGGCTATTACAGTATTATATATTTACAGAATAATTATTATTAGCATGAATTTTTGGTCCCACTTTTTTTTAAGATTTTATTTATTTATTTGTGAGAGACACAGAGAGAGGGACAGTCAGAGACCCAGGCAGAGGGAGAAACAGACTCCATGCTGGGAGCCTGATGTGGAACTTGATCCTGGGATTCCAGGATCATGCCCTGGGCTGAAGGCAGGTGCTAAATCACTGAGCCACCCAGGAATCCCCATGGTCCCACTTTTTACAGAAATATATGGCTTTATTGGAAATAGACAATATAGGGATCCCTGGGTGGCGCAGCGGTTTGGCGCCTGCCTTTGGCCCAGGGCGCGATCCTGGAGACCCGGGATCGAATCCCACGTCGGGCTCCCGGTGCATGGGGCCTGCTTCTCCCTCTGCCTGTGTCTCTGCCTCTCTCTCTCTCTCTGTGACTATCATAAATAAATAAATAAATATTAAAAAAAAAAAAAAACAAAAAGGAAATAGACAATATAATAAGTTAAATTGCCTTCAGATGTAGTGGATTCCATTTATAAGATTATTTTGTAATCATATTTCAATCATCATGACACATGTTAGGCATGAAGTGCTCACAGTCAGGGGAGCCCGGATGGCTTAGTCGGTTAAGCATCCAACTCTTAATTTAGGCTCAGGTCATGATCTCAGGGTCAGTTCCATGTCAGGCTCCACACTCAGTGGGCAGTCTGCTTGAGATTCTCTCTTCCTCTGCCCCTCCCTATCCCCTTTCCCTCTCTCTCTCTCTCTCTCTTTCAAATAAATAAATCTTTCTTAAAAAAAGAAGCTCACAAACTAAAATATAATATATTCATTATAAGTTAAGAATATACATTGTGTGAAATGTTACAGATGCACAGAGGAAGTAAGGCATTTTGGGAGGCTAGGAGATAAGGGTGATAGGAAGTTAACATTGAGCTAGATCTTAGAGGATGATTAGAATGTGATATAGAAAGGAGAAATATCCAGTGAACATTTATGTATTCATTATCTGCATACATTATTTGCCTATTATATACCTGGTCCTATACTAGGAACAGATAAAACACACAAAAGCAGACATAGTACATGCCTTCCATAGTTCTTGGAATTTAATGGCAGAAAAGACAATAAACAGTTAAGTGGTACATGCAGTTGTAATAAAATTTTAGAACAGTTCTGTGAAATAAAAATATAATAATAATAATAGCTTCCGTAAGAGAGAATTAAAATGTCAGGATGGGAACCCACCCATGTTAAGAAGGCCCCACTCTCATTGATACCGTAATTTTATGCATCCAGACTACAAGGAATGAAGAGCCCCACATTGAGGAAGAGCTTGATGAGCTATTCCAGGAAAATAAAGATCAGTGTGTCTAAATTAATGTAGGGATGCCTGAGGGGCTCAGTGGTTGAGTGTCTGCCTTCGATCAGGGTGTGATCCTGGAGTCCTGGGATTGAGTACCACATTGGGCTCCCTTCATGGAGCCTGTTTCTCCCTCTGCCTATGTCTCTGCCTCTCTCTGTGTATCTCTCATGAATAAATAAATAAATAAAATCTTTTAAAAAATTATACAATGCAAGTGGGAAGAAGTATAGCATGAAGTTGAGGAGATAAGGAAAAATCAGATCTCTTCTGATGAAGAAGCAAATTGGCAGCCATTCAGCCTAATCTGAAGTGAAGATATGTTTTAAGCTCACAGTGTTTTTAAAAGATGGGAATCAACTTTTAAAAATGAGGAAATTATACACACACACATGCACACTCACAAAAGATTTTTGTATTTCCTTGTTAGATTTAACAACTGAATCTAATGTACCTTCACAGAAATATCCACTGGAACCAATTAATACCTGTTCCTATTAGGCTGAGCAAGATTTCTCTGGTTCCCCATGTTTACTCCTAGGCTACTTTAATTCACCTGCATATAATAGGAAGCTACAAAGACTTGTAAGAGAGTGACATGATCTCATTTATATTTTTAGTAGATCATGCTGTATATTTTAGATATATGGATTGGAGAAAACAGCAGTTTTAGTTAGAAGATGCCTGGAGCAGTCTGGATATGAGATGGTGGAGGCTTGAGCTATGGTGATGTCAGTGAAC